GATGGAGATAAGTCGAGCAAGAAGATGAAGTCCGTTAAAATAGAGAAAACTAAGTCTAGAACTTTTACGTTATCTTGAGAGTATTATTTCCTTCTTTTTGGTTTTTATTGTTGTGTTAGACAATTTATAAATTATAACTATTGGATTCTTTGGTTAATCCTTTTATCGAAAGTACTATGTCAATTGAAAGTGTTAGTTTTAGATGACAGTGGTAACCCTAGCAATTGCACAAAAAATGTGGTTTACCCTGAAGTTTTTTAAAAAAATTTGATTTAATTAATACATTTATACGTTCTATTCCAATTTTGTTTCCCATTAAATTTAGTTATCATACTCTGTTTTTGTTGTATCATTCATTAAAATTCTAACATTGTCTATTATAGTTAGCTTCATTTTTTTATTATGTACTTAAAACAAACATTTAAAAAAGTTAAAAATAACATTCGTTCGACCCCGTGCGTTGCACGGGTTAAATACTAGTATATTAAATTTGAGAGATAAACTCCTAGAATTGCGACAAGTGGCGAATATACATGGCAACATTTTAACAAATTATCCGCCACCTATTAACGATTGAATGACGTGACAATTTTAATCAAAATTTGGGTCGATCCAATTTAAGTTGTATACAGAGTATATGTCTTATATACACTATCACTATAATTTTTTTAGAAAAAAAATACTCCGTACCAAAATAGGAATAAATATGGAGAAAATACAAAAATAAAAAGGCATATTTTTTATCTCCAAAATAGGAGCTGCCAAAAATTAAGAGATTCCTTAGTTTCAAAAAGAAATTATTGGTAATGCATTTCTATCGAAAGACAATATTTGTTCTATATACCGAGGTTAATGGTATACAAAATTGACCAAGAAAAATCAATTGAGAAGATCAAATCCAAACACAGAAGGGAGTATTATGGAAGAATTAGAACCCACATGAAATGTTATGCAATTGAGTAAGAACTAAAATTAATTTTTTGATTAAAAATGTTATAAAATCAACTTCTAAAATAATTAAAATAATAGTATAAATTTTTAAAATCAAATTCTAAAATTATGTTACATTTTTTTTACATAAAATTTTAAAAAATTATCACGTAAAAATAAGCACGTGTATTTTACATCCAAAGTTTTTTGCACTTGATATGAATTTAAATTTAAACAGCAAAACAAATATAGTTGCAAGGGTTTTAACAAAGAAAAATTAAAAAAATTTAAAATAATCATAGGTATTTTACTTTTGACTTCATTAAAGTCACAACTACTACTTTATGGTAAAATGACTAATTATGATATGAAATAAAAGTATTTCCATATAATTTGACTATTTTTAAAATATTGAATATTTAAAATAAACAAACTAGGAAAAAGATTTAATAAGACTTTTATACTTTATCTTGGTAACTTGATTTACTATTTTAGTCAAGGGTGGGGCTGGGGTGGGGGGTTTAGGGGGAGAGTTAGGGAGGGTAGGAACCGTTGTTTTTACAAACGGAGCACCGTAGGTACCCCAAACGAACTAGTGTAAGCAACTAGTGTATAAGTAACTGGTGTCATTTTAGACGCTCCCATTATATATATATATATATATATATTATTAATATATATTATTATATATATATATATATTATTAATATATGTTATTATTATATTTATCTCCCTTATATTATAAGGCCCAACAACGTTTCCCCACTTCCGTGAAGTTGGTCCTTTTTCAGTCACTGTTCCGTCAAATTGCCCATTTCTATATTTTCTTCTTTTCTTCGCCGACCAGGTACCCAGCTTTTAATTATTTTTCTTCTTCGTTTTTCTATTTTTTCCCAATTTGAAAAATAAAAATCTGATCGAATCGGTTAATCGTATCTTTAGGGTGAAATAGTTGCCTACCTCTTTGTTTGTGCGCCGACCAGGTACCGTGCTTCTCCCAGTCTTCGTTTTTACTCCGAGTAGATATCTTTTCCAATTTGTTTGAATGTGAATTGAATGCTATTTTTAAAATTTTCAAAGCCTGCGAAGCTAAAATGTAATTAGACTATCCAAATTTGAGGGAGTTGGGTGTCAGATCAATGGCTCTTCAAAAAAAATCCCCTATTTTGATTAAAAAAAAAAAGGAAATTTTATTTCCGGACTCCACATTGGTTTATATTCTCCAAGAAAGAAAATTTTATTTCTCATTAAAAAGTACTCTTTATTAATGAAGAAAAAACAAGATATGATGAAGAGATTAGAAAAATTTTAGAAAAAATTGAAAGTAGTTAAGAAGACACAAAAAATATTAAAGGTGATTAACTTTGGATAAATTCAATTGACATTTTGCACTCTTTCAGTTTTAACATGTAGTCACTGTTAATTGTCCCAAATTCCCTTTGAAGGCATTTTGTAACTAACTAAAGATATGTAAACTGGACACTATTAGTATCAAGTCCCCATTGTGGGTATTTTGTACTTCCTCCGTCCCATTTTATAACGTCTGTTTCGATTTACGATGCTTGACGAAAGTTATTTTCAAATCATTTTATATGACAAATGGTATAGAATTAAAAAATAAAAATTACATATCAAAATACTACATCAAAAGATCTACAAAACTAGTAGTGACAACAATATTTTATTTTATCAATTTGCTAACGAAAATAGAGAAAGAAAGTGAATGAAATTTGACCCTATGAATAGTGAACAGACATTATAATTTAGGACGGAGGGAGTAATAAATACTCTACCGAAAATCATATCTTTACTCTAATTTAATACGGAGTATAACCAAACTTGGGCACCCACGCACATAGTGCGTTCAATGCTAGTATATACGGAGTACTCAGTATATAATAAGACCCTATGTCGTTTCTTCCTAGTCTTTTTGCCGTTTTCTTTCGTAACGGCGCTTGTCTACTGTGTAATCCACCAACTCTCATCCGCTTGATGACTGTACACCGTCGAACGAGTCAATATACTTCGTTTTCTCATCAGTTCTTCATCGACCAAATATGCCGCTTTCTCTCTCTATCGTTTTTCTCTTTAGAAAATTTCAGAATTGATTGTCCTTAATCTTGTACTCAGTTGCCGGTGTATTCTTCTACTGCTGTGTTTCTTCCTCGACCAGGTACTGTGCTTCTTATCTTCTTCTTCGTTTCCTTCGTACGTCTGACTTTTCTTTGCTTGTTGATTTGGAAATGATTTGATTTCTGAAAAATGAAAATTAAAAAACAATTTTACATGTACAGTATTTTACCAGAATGGGTTTGATTTCTAATTTTGCTGTTTGAAATCGTATCATATGAAGGTTCTTTGAAAATTTTTCCTGTTTGATTGTTTGAATTTGAATAAGGTGTTTTTTAGGGGGAATAAAAACAAGAACAAAACTCTAATCTGATTTTTTATATTTGTATTAAACACATTCATACCAACTATTAAAAATATTGTTTCAGTAAACATGTCTACAGATTTTTTTTTGTCATAAAGCCATAAAGCAGCAATTTATAGTATGATAAATAACTAAGGGGCTATAAAAAAGGATGAAAAATCACACAAGTTGACTTAATCCCTTGTCATGGATGGGGCTGATAAGAAAAAAAAAGAAATTACATCACAAAACAGGAAACACAATCAGTGTTTGACTCTTGACATCAAAGCTAGAGAATATCTCATCATTCTGAATCATTCTGAATAAGCTAGAGAATACCTGGCTAGATCTTTTTTCACTTCATTATGTATTAGTCTACTCTGCATTTCTCTAATTTCAGGTTTCACTTAACAAAAGACAAATTTTCACACATTAGCCAGGTAATCACAGCTCATCTTATATGTATCCTTTCTAATTAGTTTTTGACTTCTTACTATAGAACACTTTCATATTTAATACAATCCTTTACTAGAATTTCTACATTCATTTAACCAAAAAAATATACAAAAAAAATTAATTATAAAATCATAGAACATTTGAATGTGAGTATGTGACACACCTGTTTGTTCTGACATAAGTTTTCAAAGTTCATTCATTTAGATCACTGATTAAATCTTTGAATCTCTACGTTGAGTTTAATTTATCATCTTTATAGCCAAGTTGAACCTAAAGTACATGTTGCTTTTTTTAATAATAGTTGTATCAGTAAGCCATGGTCCAAGCCCTATGAATTTAAATGTGAAGAATGTGTTTTTAAGGAATACGAGATTTGATTATAACCCTTAAATGGGAAAGTAATAGCTTGCCAAGTTGTTGATCACGAGGTCAGATCAATCATAAAAACTCTTGAATTTGATTATTTATCGTTTAAAATTCTATAGCAAAGATGCATCCATGGGTGAGAGCACATCCCAGAATTTCTCACCACCCACTGACTGCTCTACGCTCACTGCGTCAACACCTCCCTCCGTCCCACGATTCACTTCTCTTGTCCCCTTATTTCTTCCTCCTCATTCCACTTTTAAGTTCAGGCATTCTTCTCTTTGTTCTGAAGGTATTTGTTATCACTTTCAGCGAGTTGCTTTCTTCTTTGTGCTCAAGTAGAATCTGAAATTGAATTTCAATTACATAGTCTCAATTAGAATCTGTAATTAGCTGTTTCAGCTTGTAGTCTGTGAGATCTAATCATGCTTATACTATTGGTTTTATAATGCCTAGCTTGCAAAGAACTAATGGTGTGTCACCCTAGCACAACATGTATACATACTCTCCTTACATGATGTGATACAATATATGGAGAAGTTCTTTTATAATCTTAACTTGCGCCTCTTTAGACAGAAGCATATTACGCTTGAAGGTTGTTGGAGGCCTCATTTTAAAGTGAATGATGTTTCAGCAAAGAACAAGAGCACAGTGAAAAAAGGCACACCTCTGAACTTCTGAACTATTCTCATCGAGGTAAGGGAATTTTTAGATTTTCTTATATGGTTTGCAGCATAGTTATGAAAGGCGAGCGCCTTGATCGCCTATGGCGTTTATGGCGCTGTGGCGAGGCTATGGCGCCAGGATTGGGTTGTGCATGGCGATGTCCTTGAGGCGAGGAATGGCGATCGCCATTTTCGATGCTAATTATGGCGTATGGCGTTCGCAATTGACGCAATTAAGTTGTGGGTCGATTTTTTTCACTGTCCAGACTTCATCCAAGGGAGTAATTAAATTGGGCTTGAGCCTGTTTCTAATTAAAGATCCGCAATTACCTCATCCCATAACCCGATCGTCGTTCCAGGCTTCCAGTCATAACCCGATCGTCTCTTCCACTCTATTCAGCTGCGAATCTGCTCCCATTCTTCTATCGCAGCAGCAGGTTGCAGCTTCCAGTGGCTATTTCTCAGTCGATTTCCTCCAAGTGGTGTCGGCAGGTAGGTCACTTTTTAATTCTTATATAGTTCTTTTTAATTTGTGTTTTATACTTTTATTTTAAATTTTTGTATTACATTTTCAATTTTTGTATTATTCTTCAATTTTCAATTTGTGCATTATATTTTTTAATTTGTGTCTCTATTATTTATGATAAATATGGAAAAATAATTTATGTTTTATTCTTTGAATTTATCTTAGCTACTTATTGTTTTTGTTTTCCGTTGAGATTTATATATTGTTTAAGACTTTATGATATGCCATGCACAATTTGTTTGTGTGTGTGTGTGTATATATATATATATATGTATGTGTGTATGTATATGATAGGAGCAGGACGGTATTATGAAAAATGAAAGATTGAAACTGAAGAATGAATTCTCTCCTAACCCTCTCACAATAAGAATCTCACTGAGAAGAGGTAATAGAAGCCAAGGAGTATCTCCGATGCTATGAAATATATTGATAAACTGATATCCTCCCAGGAGGATGGACTAGCATATTTATAATGCTGGAATACAAAGAAATAACCAAATATCCCTACTTTTTAGGCACTAACAGAAAGATAAGACTAACTGACCATGACAGCAAGAGTGGACCTATTATTGTGCTAACAGATGCCAATTATTGTGCTAACAGAATGGAAACACATTTTAAAATAATCAGACTTAGTCAAAACTTAAGCCCTATTATTGTGCTAATAAAATAATTAAACTCAGTCAAACTTAAGCCCTCCTTTTACGCCTCTGATAAGTCCTGATTGGTTTGGGATTTGTATCAATACTCTCCCCCTGAAAAACCGACTTGTCCTCAAGGCGAAACTCAGGAAACTGTTGCAATAGAAGATCATAATCCTCCCAGCTTGCTTCCTCCACGGGTCTGGACTTCCACTGAATCAGGAGCTCCAGGTGGGCTGCTTTCCAACGGTGTGCTAGCACTTTGGCGGGTTCTAAGAGCATCACCAAGTCATCTGAAAGGGGTAAATCTGCAGGTGGGTCTGTAGCCGAGCATCCATGAGCTGGACGGAGCAGTGAAACGTGGAAGACTGGGTGAATTCTTGCTGATGGAGGGAGTTCAAGTTCGTAAACAACCGGGCCCACCTTACGCAAGACCTTATATGGACCAAAGAACCTTGGAGAAAGCTTAGTATATTGATACAGCACAAGGGAGAGCCACACCCTAAAAGCTAGCTGATAAGGTGGGAGAACCCTTGGCTATATAAACCCATCACCAAGTTCCCCATATAACCGGTGTGGGACAATGAAATCAGTTCGTATCATTCGACCCCCCATAAGGCCCAACGTCCTCGTTGGTCACGGCTACGTTGGTCACGACCACGTTGGTCACGGCTGGTTTCACCAGGCCACCACTCCGTAGGCCACCACTCCGAGTTGGCTCTGATACCATTGATACAGCACAAGGGAGAGCCACACCCTAAAAGCTAGCTGATAAGGTGGGAGAACCCTTGGCTATATAAACCCATCACCAAGTTCCCCATATAACCGGTGTGGGACAATGAAATCAGTTCGTATCAGTATATGTGTGTGTGTGTGTGTACATACTCGCTTTCTTTTGTTCGCCATTTGACCGCCCGCCACTCGCCACGCCACTCGCCACAAAAAAGGCCCTCTCGCCCGCCACTCGCCACTCGCCTTTCATAACTATGGTTTGCAGTGTATTTGCTTTCTGACCTATTCGCTTTCCATGAACATTATTAGTCTTCTTTGATCTAGAAACATTCATTTGTTTTTTTTCTCAAAAACTTATGATTTTTTTCTCACATTCTTCTAATACGGTTCTTTTTCAGTGTTTAATATCATTCATTTGACTTTTTTTGTTTGTTCTGGGTTTCAATTCTTTTGATTTAGCCTTTTTTGATAGATTTGTATTGTGTGCACATGGGTTTGAGGCGATAACTATTAACGGTAAGTACGAAAATCATTTGCAAGGTTTGTCTCCTTTCAATTTTTTGTTATAACTTATTACTTTAAACATTACTAACCTTACAAGTTGAACTACCAACACCTACAAAGTGAATAAAGTTTTTAAACAGCAATGCAAACTTAAAAAGTTTAGCCAGTAGTCTACAATTGAAAGCTTTAACATCACTCAGCAGTGTAATCCTTCCAAGCTCTCAATGGGTAAAAGAAGATGGTTCTTTGGGTAGGAGAAGATCAATGGTAGATGATGTGGACGGTCCAAATCCAAGGAGAGCATCTTCTCAAACATTATTTCTCCATCCAATGCTTTGGGCAAATATTGATGATGATGATGAATTTCTTTTTACTGATGGTTAACTTTACTACTAGAAAAACGTTAAAAATATTGACTCTTATTGTATCCTACTAAAAGGGTAAGATCTAATAAAGTTTATTTGATGTTATTTAGTCTCTTTTCCTCTCTTTCTATTATTTTAGTGCTATTAGTTCACTATTTCCCCCTTTATTGGGCACCATTGGCACAAAGTGCCTTCTTAGCTAGTAATTCCTAATTCCGTATCATCACCTTCTTCGCCTGTTGCGACTTGCGAGAATTCCAAGAAACAGCAGACCATCGTCTTCCTCTCCAACGCCGACCATCTCTACCCTTCTTCTTCTTCTTCTTCTTCTTCAGTTCTTCGACCGGAAGAGGCGACCATCTCTAATCTTCTTCTTCTTCAGTTCTTCGACCGGAAGATGCAGGCTTCCCAAATAGACAGCAACATAGATCCGAATCATCCGATTGCAAGGTTAATTTTTTTAAATCTAATTTTGCTCAAAACCCTATTTTAAGATTTCTCTGATGTGTACTCCAATTATAAATACTAAATCTGATTGTAGTGTTGAATAAGGGGCTGTTGAATTTACAATAATAACTACTCCCTCCGTCCGGGAATGATGTTCCCGTTCTACTCTTTTTTTCGTCCGGAAATGATGTTCTCATTCTACTTTTTTTTCTCTACTCTTCCAAAATTACCCTTTCTTCCTTCTTTTCTTTCTTCCTTTTCTTCTCTCCTCTTTCCTCCTTTTTTCTCCGCCGCCCCTTTTTCCTCATCCCCACCCCTTTCTTCTTCCTCCATCTATGCTATTCCTTTCTTCTTCCTCATCCCTGCAATCTTCTTCTTCCTCCTCTCTATAGTCTTTATTCTTCTTTATGTTCCCCTTCTTCTTTCTATTTCATCTTCCTTCTAGATCTAAGCATATGTATGGCGGCGATGGAGATGGCGGCGGCCGGCGATGACGAGGTGGCGGCCTGCGATGGAGATGGTGAGTCTGCTCTTCTTACTCTCTTTTTTTCTTTTCTTTCGTCTTTTCTGTCCCCCCACCCACCCACCCCCCACCGCGCTATTCATCATCATCATCGTCTTCTTCTAGATCTATGCTAGATCTATGGGGCTGGCAGCGATGGCAGAGCAGGCGGCGGCGACAGTAGAGTAGATGGCAGTGGTGAGAGCTAGATTCAGATAGATTTGTATTAGATCTTTTTCTTCTCGTTTTGTTTCCCCTGATTTTTCCCTTCCCTTATTGTGGTGAGTGGCTGAAGAAGAAGATGAGGATAGGGATGGCGAAGATGAAGTAGTTAGTGATGGCGTTGGGCGGCAGTGGAGCCGGAGCATTGGGGAGTGGCGATAGGTTGGGGCCGCGGTGGGCAGCGCAGAGATGGGCGGAGGTGGGTTGGGGCAGTTGTGGCTGGGGTGAGATAGTGGTGGGGGCAAAGCAATTCAATGAGGGCATTTTGGACATTTCAATATCATAGTCAACATTCACTAAAAATGAAGAAAAGTCAAATTGGGAACGTCTTTCCCGGACGGAGGGAGTAATAACTAATTTGGGGCTTTTGAATCTACAATGCACAAATGCCCTGAAGTGTTTAAAGTGTAATCATAAAGTAAGACTCAAAATTTTGGCATCTAATTTTGGCTAAAAAGTTAACTTTTCGGATAATCCAATGATCCAAAAATTCGGATATCCGAATATTTTTGGATCGGATATAGAATGAGTTTTACATGATCCGAAATTTTCAGATATCCGAATTTTCGGATCGGATCGGATCGATCCGATTGAACAACCATAGCCTCAATAACATTATGACAACGAGCCCTAATAACAAGCCCGTACCTAGCACGGGGTAGAAAACTAGTTGGAGATTAAGACGAGACGAATAGAGAGAGAGAGAGAGAGACGCGATCGAGAGGAGAGAAGGGGAGTTGGCGAGGAGTTCGCAGGCGGTAAAAGGTCATCGTCACCGGCGACTCCTCGCGAGTGAGCGTACACGGACCACGATTTGGGTGATAGGAGAGCGCGGATATTCAACCTTCAACCTCAACACTCTCGATTTTCGTAGGTATATTCCTTAATCGCTTTACATGTTTCGATTCGAGTTGTAGAGGTTCAATCGCATGTTTGTTTAGCTTGATTTAGAAATTCCTAATCTGTTGGTAGTCTTCCATAGATCTGCGTCATTTCCAAACTGGTTGACTGTCATTGTTTTGGTTCTTTGCCTTGGGTAATCAAACCTTTGATTTCTTACTAAACTTGAGCTTAAAATGATGCATGAATGCTATAAACCCTGCTGTTTTACTTTTCTTTGTGACATGAGTGAGCAGGACTCTTAACCTTGGTGATTTGGTGATGGCAATAAACCACCGAGTATCTCGACCAGGACCGGCCCAAGGGAGGGCCGAGGAGGCCAACCAAACTGGGCCCAATATTTTAAGGGACCCAATTTTTTTAATATTATACATATTTATACATAAGAGATACTCCTTTTCCACTTGTGCTACTAAATTTGTTGTTATGCAACTAACGCAATAAGATATATATTTGTCGTATTGATTTTAATAAAACTTCTAATTATTTAAAAAAAGAAACACAAGAACCATCTAATATACTTGTTTAGTAAACTTATAAAAATAGTTTAAAAATATATAAATAAAAATATTTATGTTTTATTTAAAAATTAATATGAATAGTTATACCTAAAAAATAATTTTTTTTCAAAACAAAAAATAACTAAAAATTTTATCATCAATAGAAATTAAGAAATATTTAGTAATTATGCCTTAATATATTAAAAATATTATTTTCTTCTTCTTTTTTAAATATGACTATTGCCTTACTATTTTAGTTTTATTAGGTACTCATTATTTATCTTTGATAGTAATAAAAAATAATACAAATAGCAAATTGAAAAAAATGTGATGACATATGTAAAATGATATTGAAAATTAAACGGAAGAGTGAAAAAACATAAATATAATATCTAATAATATAATATAAAATATTATTCTTTTAAATATAGTTAACCAAAACACTAACCCTCGAATTGACCGGTTAAATCTTCAGCCACTAACTTGTCCGAGTTGACGTCTGATTCAATTTTCAAGACATTGGTTTGGGAATGTAAGTATAAATAAATCTTTTACTATAATTTTGTACGTGATTTACTTATTTTGTTACATAGTATTATACTATTGTGTTAAATGTTATTTAAATATAAGTAGCTTATACACTTTAATTTGTTAAGGCATTAAGAATAAGATCTTTAGGGCGGAGTACCTATACCATACATCCAAGTAACTGAATATTCATTTTTGAGTATCAGGGTACTCATTTTTAAGTAACTGAATACTCATTATTGAGCACAATTGAATTTTATAAAAATGAGTATACAGTTACTAAAAAATGAGTATTCATTTGTTCAAGAATGAGTATTCCGTTACTTGTAAATGAGTAAACTAATCGCTATAGATGTACGGGAAACACCGTACAACTGATTGTACGGTATATATTGCGTTTAGGCCCTCGAGTTCTCAAGGCCAGCCCTAATCTCGACTGTGGGGTTGGTGACCTGCGTAAGCTAGGAAAGTAGAGATAGAGAGAGAGAGAGTGCAAAGTAGGAGTATTATTCACTTAGAATCAGATCCGTAACAATGAGAAGGCCTGAACCTATTTATAACGTCAACACTACTACAACTGTAATAACTGTGATTGACATTTGTGTCGTTTAGTCATTGTAACTTCGTCCTTGTCATCTAGCCAATGTCTTTGGCGATTGGAGGCAAGCAAGACATCTAGTCCTCCGTCGATGCATTCACGTGGTGGGGCAGATCCATGTACTGGTTCCTCTAAGGATCGAGCAGAGAAGCCAAGCCCTCGAGGACCGAGTCGAGCTCAGCCAGCCGAGCCGAGCCTAACGAACTGAGCGCACTCTTCTGGGACCCCTTGGAGCTCACCTGAGCTGTGGGGTCTGGTCCTGGGCCCAATATCAGGCTAACGTGGGGTTAGCCTCTGTCATAAGCCCCCCACTCTCCGAGTTCTCTAACGGTTTGCAGGGGAACACACGAGAGTAGAAGCTCTTGGGGTGACGGGCGCGTAGCCTACATGCGGATGCGTTCGAGATGGATGGTGATGTTTGACATTCCCGAAGCGGCATGTGGCGGTGTTTCGCCTTCCCCGTTACCCATCACTACGTTAGCCCAATTCATTTCTTCGGTCCATCACCTTTAGTATAAATATCCACTCTGCATCCTTTATTTCTCACGAGAGAAAAATTTGCTAGCGTTTGTCGTTGTGCCGTCATCCTTTTCTCTGCCGCTTCCACACTGTTCAACAAGCCCATCTCCGGTCATTTCCCTCACCCTAGGTCAGTTTTCTTACCTTCGCTTCCCCGATGTTTGTAGAGTCTTCAACCGTGCTGTAGAGTCTTCAACCGTGCGTCAGTTCGAGGCCAAGAGTCTGCTCGGTCACGGTGGTAACGATTTTGCCCAGCGGGATGACCAAGGGGATCAAGCGAGCTCTCCATCTCTCGAGGAGATAAAGGCGATAGAAGTTCCTCGAACCGCTGAACCTTGCTTCCAAAAACAGATGGCGTTGGTCGACTCAGTCATCCGCTCGTGGAAGTGCAACCTGACGGGCGACGAGTATCGCCAGGTTGTGCTCTATGCCGGTCCCAGCATTACCCTGCGTCGTCCCACTCCTAAGGAGTCAGTCTTTGATGCCCCTTCTCCTTCGGGTTTCTTTGGGTACCATCTCAAGTCTCTTGAGTATGGATTCTGCTTTCCTCTCCACCACTTGACCATTTCATTCTTGAAACACTTTGATTTCCTCCCTTGCCAATTAGTTCCGAACTCGCACCGCTACATGGCAGGGTTTTTCATCCGCTGCCGCCAAACGCGGGTACGTCCCAACCTTGACCGCTTCGAGGCCTTGTTCCGGGTAGCTAAGTTTTCTGGCTCAAACTCTGGTTCCTATGCCGCCCTCAGCCAAAGGTGAGATGGGATTTTTAAATCCAAGAAGGATTCCACTAAGACCTGGAAGGCGAAGTTTGTCTTCGTCTCTCTGAGCTCGGGTCCCCCCTTCTGCGACACCGCCCACAGTTCTTTCCGTCGGAGAGCTCAGCCGCTCACAACGCCCAAGATGATTGCCGACGGGGAAAAGCTCTGCAAGGGGGTCCCCACGAGCTCAAGGAGTTGGTGACTGACAAGGCGTTGGCCGAGCTCGGGTACACTTTCTCGCAGTAGAAAAAGGCTCAGCGCTGGGTAGTCCAACTGAGCATTGACGAGGGCCCCTTAGGTCAGCGTCACTTCTCCCTCGGTCATTTCGGGCTACTATCCCTTATTGATATATGAAATTTTCCTAAGTATCCTGCTCACCCTTTTTCTTCCTTTTGTTTCCGCTGGTGACATCATGCTTTCCACCACGGCTAGGATGAAGCTCCTTCGTGACAAAAGCAAGGCCAAGAGCTCGCGAGGGCCTTCTGACGTTCTGCCCTTGACGCCACACCCCGGCCCGTTCGCCGAGGAGGTTCCTCTGACCAAGAAATGCAAGGACGTGGCCTCGGCCACTTTGTGGAGGTTTGAATCCCCTCACTTGATGGATTTCAGGAACCCGTCTCTGGTCAAGGTGGTGTTCCCTCCTCACCCTTCCTTCCTGCACGGTGATTATGAGCCACAAACTTTCTTGCAGAGCTTCATCCCCCCCGACCGCTAGGTGCTTGGGGCAGCTGAGAGGGACAACTTGGCCTCCACCTTCCTTCGGGAGTTGGGCTCCGTAAGTCTTCTGCAACTTTTCCCGTAGTTTTTGCAGCATCCCAAGTAACGAGATATACAATGCAAGATTCAGAGCTGGTCTCCCATTTGCAGCGGTTTGAGGAAGACAAGGCTAAGGCCAACCGTGACCCTCAACTGGCAGGGCCGAGCGACCACCCTTAAGGGGGAACTTGCTGCGTCCGAGGAGCATGCTTGGGCTGCGGAAGAGGAGGCCCGCAAGGCCAAGGAACACCGTCAGAATGCAGTCAAGGTCTTCCAAGCGTCGCCAGCCTTCGTGGAGGCAGCGCTCCCGCGCATGGAAGATCTGTTGAAGGCTGGGGTCGAGACTGACGTTGGCAAGCGGTTCTCGATCCAGGAGGGAAAATCCTACTTTTCCCTGGGGCAGGGAAAATCCTACTTTGCTGTGCCTCATCATCATCCAAATCGTCGCATGCCCGGCCAATGTGCCTCTTATTCGGGTTCCTTCCTTACGTGGCCACAGCGACCGGCTCGGCCAGCTTCCTCTAAGTTCTTCCTTTCGGCGCCCCTCGCGACGGGCTAAAGCGTTCTCCCGAGGAATGGGCCCTCGAGCAATCAGCCGCTGCATCTCTTTCTAGAGCTTTAAGCATTCCTTGGTGTTGTGGGTACCCATTGCGGTGATACTCGCAATACTTCCCCTCATCGGCCACCACATAGGTCTCCAAGTGGGGAAGTGGGGAAAGACCAAGCTATTGACCTGCCCCCACATGTGCCCCTACGGAATAAACTTCGACTGCTGGTGTTCTGGGACTAGTGGTGTAATCCTTCTTCTTCTTTCTCTTCTTCGAAATATCCCCCAAATAAGTTGAGGCTCGCTTGGCCGGCACAGCCTCGGTGTAGGGAGCGTCGTCGAACTCCTCCTTAGCGCATGCCACGGTCTCTTGATATGTATGTGGAGGATTCTTACGAAGCTCCTTCCTCACCTCGCCTCAGGGAAGGGCTGCCTGGGACATGACAACCAGAGCTTGGTCGTCCGCCCCGTGGACGCCACGGGCCTCCTTCTCCCTTCGAACTTTGAAGTTCTGAACCTTCTCCCCTTGGCGAATGCAAATGTTGAGGAGATGGGAGTAGGGTAGCCTTTGCCTGTGATTGGCCGCGAAGTGGGTAAGAAACTTCTCCGCCAAGGTATCCTAGTCATCAATGGTTCCCTTCGGCAATCGATTGAACCAATCACACGCCGTGCCCTCTAGCATGGCCAGAAAACATCAGCACTTTACCTTGTCGGCCGCCGCCGCCGCTTCCATCGAAGGGTAGAACTTGGACATGTGGTCTTGTGCAAAAAATTGCTGCTAGGTACTCTGTGTTTTGGTATAAGAACTATTAAGTACCTTTAGTTTTCAAAATATACTCACAAAAAATTTAACATTTTAAAAAAGTTGGCAAGAAAAATATGAACCCCTCTCGTTCTCTATTTTTCTAGCATTTCTATCTTCAAGCTTCATTAGATCAATGTTCCCTCATGGTGTGGCCACCTGAAAATTTTGATCCAATAAGATTGCCATCAGTGCTCCACCTGAATATTGACTAAACTTTAGCCTCTCATTAAGGACAGAAATTGCAGAACGTCTTGATTGAGAGATACTCGCAGCAACCGTTAGAGCCATAAATAAATAGATGTATAAGGAACAACCAATTAATGACAAAAATTGCTTTAAGGGTGTACATGAAGGATCACATTAAGATGAGATACATCCATAGTAACTTAAGAGATGAATACATATGGATTTGGATTTACGCAAGGGGAAATTATTCATTTAAAATACCTGAGTTCCAGAAGCGAAATTACCTGGATAAACAATTAAAATGTTATGAACATACAAAAAATTTAACATTTTAAAAAGTTGGCAAGAAAAATATGAACCCCTCTCGTTCCCTATTTTTCTAGCATTTCTATCTTCAAGCTTCATTAGATCAACATTCCCTCATGGTGTTGCTCACTCCATAAAAAATCTTGGGGAGAGATTCTAATTGTTTCCTTTCCATTCCCAATGTTAGTTTATGAAGAGAAACAATATCAGAAATAGAGTTGGCCATCAAATGCATAAATCACATGAACAATGTCACCGGTGGCAACAATGCTACAGAACTTGCAAGAAAAGAGAATGAAGCCATTTTCGGATTAATACCTTGAATTCATGCTTTACATATTAGAAAAATAGAAACCAATCATTTCAGCTATAGAATTAGTAAGTGAAAAACAACCACAAAGGATCATCACATTTATCTGTTTTGTTGTGAAGAATGTAAACAAATACTACAAACATAAGCTAAGTTAAACTAATAGATACTTTTATAATTTTAAAGGCAAATCTCTCTAGAACTATAATTTTAAAGGTGAATCAAGGAAGCCATTATAACCTTAGTTTATGTTTTGGGATGCCATTTAATCGAAGATTGTTGATGATATATTGTACTTTCATCTAACATCAAGCCAAAAAAAAGAAAAAAAACTTTGAGATAATAGATGAAAAAG